GAGAGAGAGAGAGAGAGAGAGAGAGAGAGAGAGAGAGAGAGAGAGAGAGAGAGAGAGAGAGAGAGAGAGAGAGAGAGAGAGAGAGAGAGAGAGAGAGAGAGAGAGAGAGAGAGAGAGAGAGAGAGAGAGAGAGAGAGAGAGTAAAAGAAATACACATAATTACTAACCCAATCAGCCCTCAATCTTCATACCTACACATCTATTACTAACAAGATTAAAACCTAATTGCCGCCCATAAAAGGAAAAACCTATTTCACGCTTCTGTATGAACGGATGGATCGATCTTTCCATACTGTGAAGCCAGTTATGTAAAAAGCAAATACCCTCCCCCCCCCAAAAAAAAAGTAAGAGATAGATAGGCAGATAGAGAGACAGTGACAGAAAAGGAGATAGAGAGAAAACAGAGAGACAGAAAGAGAGAAAGTCAGAAAGGAAGGCAGAGAGAAAGAGAAAAAAAAAGGCAACACAAGAAAGACAGGAAGAGGAAACAGGAGAGGGAGACAGACAGACAGACAGCCAGATGGCAAAATACATCGAAAAGGAAAAGCGTTATCCTCCCCTGTTGTGGAAGGGTGTTAAGGCACATTAAAAGGCGACTATTGGGTTCTCGGTCTCCTTTGGTTCCCTTACCTTCCTTTCTGGAGCCTTAAAGAAAAGGAAAAATGGATCTCAGGATGATTTTAAGAATAAATTATGACCACCATTTTTTTCTTTAAACATATCCTTTTATATAACTTGTTATCTCTCTTTTTTTAATGAATCGTGTAACTGGAATACTCATGGTAAAAGTTACTAAAGCAAGGGTCACATTTTACGGTTACCTTGTTAAGCATTAGTAATATTATTCTTGAATTCATATATATGAAAGTATAAATACTATAAAGGCAATTTATATACAGTGTATGCATTTATGTATGTACTTATGCCTGTATGTAATATATATGTATGTATGCATATATAATTAATATATACTTGTATGTATGGATATAACTATTTATGTATATGTATTTTTATGCATATGTGTATAATATGTGTATGTGTAAATTTATGTGTATGTGTACATTTATGTATAAGTATATAAGTATATATATATAAATATATATATATATAATATATATATATATATATATATATTATATATATATATATATATATATATATTAATATATATATATATGCATGTGTATATATGTATATATGTATATGTCTATATGTATACAAACACACAACACACACACACACACACACAC